TTAACTTATTTAAGTACCATATCTCTTAATTAGTCTTTCTCATACTCTCATCTTTCCATTTGTCGGTTGAATTTGTGTTCTCAGGAGGACAGTAGTAGTCCTTTAATTGCTAAACGCGCTAAATATTTAAGACCCGTTTGTTCCAGTAGCAGCCAACCCCTCAGAAAGCAGAAAAGCAAAACTGTTTACTAGATCTGTAACTAATGATTATTGATTATTGTATCAACCACTATTACAATAATTGACTAATCTGTATTGCCTTGTTTAGTTCCTGTTTGTACAGTTGCAGATGCTATATTGTCTGTGTGAAAGGCTAAACAATAGAAGTCAAATCGCTCTAACACTTCTTAGAGTGTATTGCAAACTTTTTAGAATGATTTATTGTATCATAAGATCATAAATAGAGCATTATAAAGCACCTTTTTAAGTAAACAACACATGAATGAAAAGGATCCACAGTGAAACTTTTATATTTTATAATCAAAATTGTTGACAAACTATGAGTTTTGATAGCATTTTCACTGTCAAAGTCCACAGGTGTACAGAAGTAATCATATTTCTTCTTCTTGTCTCATAATGTGTTTTTTTGTGTTTTATGCTGTTGCGCTAGAGCCCGTGGCATAGAGGGTCCTGCAGTGACCAGACCCTCTGGGTGTGTATGGACAAATGTATTGGGACACCTACACATTAAACCTACAGGAGCTTCTATGACATCCCATTCTAAATCCATAGGTATTAATATGGAGTTGGTCTCCCCCCTTTACAGCTTCCACTTTTCTAGGAGGGCTTTTAACAAATTTTTGGAGTGTATCTGTGGGAATTTTTGCCCATTCATCCAGAAGAGCATTTGTAAGGTCACACACTGATGCTGGACAAGAGGGCCTAACTCACAAGCTCTGTTCTAGTTCATCCCAAAGGTGTTCAATAGGTTCGAGGTCAGGGCTTTGTATGGGCCAGTCAAGTTCTTCCACACCAAACTCACCCAGCCATGCCTTTATGGACCTTGGCTTTGTGTAGTGGGGCTCAGTCGCGCTGGAACAGAAAAGGGCCTTCCGCAAACTGTTCCCACAACGTTGGAAGCATAGAATTGTCCAAAATGTCTTGGTATGCTGAATCATTAAGATTTCCCTTCACTGGAGCTAAAGGGTCTAGGCCAACCCCTGAAAAACAACCCCATAGCATTATCCCTCCTCCACCAAACTTTACACTTGGCATAATGCAGTCAGGCAGGTAACGTTCTCCTAGAATTTGCCAAACCCAGACTTGTCCCTCAGACTTCCAGATAGGGAAGCATGATTCATCACTCCACAAAATACGTTTTCACTGCTTGAGAGTCCAGTGGCGGCGTGCTTTACGTCACTACCCATGACGCTTGGCATTCTCCATTTTGATCTTAGGCTTGTGTGTAGCTGCTTGGCCATGGAAACCCATTTCGTGAAGCTCCTTAAGTGCAGTTCTTTTGCTGATGTTGCTTCCACAGGCAATTTGGAACTCTTTGAGTGAGTGATTCAACAGAGGATGGGCACTTCAGCACTCCGCTGCACCCTTTCACACATGAAATGCCTTCCCTTGCGAAACCTAAACAAGGGCTTAAAAGATTTTGTGTTTAGAACAAAATTAATAAAAACAAAACAAGCAAAGTTTATTATATTATCATAATAATAATCTACTGTGACAGTAGCATGTAGGCTGACTTCAGACAGTAAACTTTAGCCATTTGATTATTTGAACAAGAAGCAGTTAATAGGCTTTAAACACTGAATTTATGAAACCAATAGCAAAAACTACAATCCATACCAAAAGCTACCAAACCAAACCAAAAAAAAACACAAAAAAAACAAGTTGGTCTACAAATTTCTGACCCAAAATACAAGCATGTTTATTTTCTCTAATTTAAGCAGGCTTCTGTATGGTGTTACCATATTAACTGCCAAGTTACCGGAGGAAGGTGCCGTGGAAATCAATTAGGAGGGTGTTCGGGCTGTCAGTGTTAGGATCTGCCTCTCAGCCAGTATTTTCAGCTTTTCTGTGCACACTGAGAACATATTCAGACAGTGTGCTGGCAGCGTGGGAAAATGGCTCTTTCATGACTCCACCTGCTGCCGTAGTGGAGCAAAGATCACTGCTTATTTGACAACAGGCTTTTACAGCGTGAATTTGGGTCCCCATTGGATGCCAGGTTTCGCTGGAGGTCTGCTAGTACTGACACTGTAATGTACCTGATTACCATTGTCTCAAGCTAAAAATAGTCTGCAGTTTATCTTGTGCTCAGGGCTGCAGACGAGTCTAGGATTGATGTTGCTGCTTTGATATAACTCACTGGTTTTTATGTTTTGTTTTGGTTTTTTTTTGGCCATTTGGAAAATATTATGAGTAAACATGGAATTCTGAGCTCGGTCAGAATTCCTTTATTTTCCTTTATTTCCGAAGTACACTCGTTAACAGTAAAATGTTTGGACAATATATATGCATAACTACAACAATAAGAACTGTACACTGATGCATTTCATTTTGTGGACCAGTTGACCACCATGGAGCTTCCTGCTGTCCAATGCTCTGCACAAAACACAGTCTCAAACTGTTTAATCATAGATATTGCTTCATCTGCCTCACAATACTCTCTGAGCTCTTCTCATATTCATACTAACAGGTCATCATTACAGGCTTCTAACAGCAGTGATGTTCGTGGTTCTCTGTGATACACTTCTAACAGTAGTTACTGGTTTTCACTGGTAACAGTGACTGTCACAGTTCTGTTTCTCACTGTTACTCTGATAGGCCTCAACTCGTAGTTATTAGTAATCAATGCTTAATCTAATTACTTTGGTCCAGTGACAGGCTGTTTTTTTCCCTTTTCTCTATTTTAATAATTTCTATTAATGGAAAGCCCTTATTCTCTGTTAATATTGCTCTTAAGTTATTGTTTTGCTATCCGGTGTCAACCAGAGGAGGATGGGTTCCCCTTGGTTCCTCTCAAGTTTTCTACCTCTTGCTCTTAGGGATTTTTCCTTGGCGCTGTTGCCCTTGTTAAACTGTATCCACTTATACTGTTTTGTGTCTGCCCTCGGTGTCGACCAGAGGAGGATGGGTTCCCCTTTTGAGTCTGGTTCCTCTCAAGGTTTCTTCCTCCTGTTGAGGGAGTTTTTCCTTGCCACTGTCGCCAAGGCTTGCTCACTGGGGGCGTGTACCCGGATTCTTTGTAAAGCTGCTTTGTGACAACATCTGTTGTAAAAGGCGCTATATAAATAAATTTGACTTGACTTGACTTGGTTTCCTCATGAGGGCTTGGACCCAGATTTTTCTGTAAAGATGCTTTGCGATAATGCCTGTTGTGAAAAGCGCTACATAAATAAACTTTGACTTGACTTGACATCTCCACAACATCCTGAAGGAAGTTATAATTAATTAAATGAATAAAATGAAGTAAAGTGAAATAAATGACAGTATTTTAATTAATAACTGGATTAAAATTATACATTTTCAAATTATTGTTAAAATGTGGACTGAACCTGAAAGCAGAAAAGGAACACTAAAACAGAAAAGGAAAACTAAAATGGTCAAAAAAAATAGAATGAAACGACAAGCAAATAAAATAAATGACAGCAGTAATTTTAAATAAAAATGTGATTTAAAGGATTTCAAGTGTGGTTTTAAACATATTTAAGTGTTTCTTAAAAATGTGTACTGAACTTGACTGCCTAGTTATAAGAGGTAATGAGTTTTAGAAGCATAAAAACAGAAGGGAGCCTTTCCAGTGTTTCTGTAGTTTACACAGGGTGTTTGGAGAAGGCCAGAATCTGCTGATCTGAGGTCATGTAACAATACATAAAACAATAGCGAGTGAACTAGCAGATTACATTGCCATTCATTTTATTCATTGAAAGTAATTACCTTGGGGGCCCATTCATATTTTTATTTTGCGCTAGAGCCTGTAAGATCCCAGTCTCTGAGGTGAACTGATTTTCTAAACTTTGTAAACACGCACACACATTGTGTTCTTGATTTTCCACACTGTTTGTTCTCCCTTGCTTGCCCACTCACTCACTCAAACGCTCTCCTTTGTTCTTCTTGTGTGTTCTCTTGCTCGGTACTACACCTCATTTGAGTGTAGATGAGTGAGTTCTCAGCAGGTAACTTGAGACCTGCCCACACACACACACACACACACACTTCACTCTCGCTCCGAGCCTTCCCCGGCAGCCCTGTAATTGCTGTGAATGATGGGTCTTCAGCCACTATTGTTTATCAATATCCCCGTCTGGCGCTCTGAGCACAGCCGAGTGCGCTATTCATCTTCCTTAACCCTCTGCATGCAGCTGGCACTACGCAGCATCCCCTCCAGTCACTTTTATGGGCTCTGTTGACCAGTGCTAGGCTAGGCTAACTGGTTGCGAGCCCCACTGAGCATGGGGTAGCATAGGGAGATGGAGTTGGGGGGGCTATAAGTGGCTGTCTGGTCATGAGGGCTGATAGCACAGGCTGAAATGAATGTGGTAATTAAGCCGCACTGTGGGCCACGGGACCATGATGAATATTATCACTTAATTATGGGGATCACTATTCCCAGCACGCAGCCACGCTCACCATGGCCATCCTGCTTCAGCAACGAGTGTGTGTGGGGGTGTGTACGTGTGTGCTGCTGTTATATGCTTGATATGCACAAATGGACTGTGCCCACAGGCCTAAATGTATGTGTAGAGAAGAGACAGTGAATGGTCCCACTAGCCCTTTTCCCACGGTTGTCATTATGCTGTAAGAATCCCTCAGGCATAAAGATACGCTGTAAGCATTGCTAATGGATGCCATTTTATGTGATCAATGGCTTTTAATTGTAGCCATTATAAATGTATTGTAAGTGAGGGGCTCCATGGGGACCTGTCATTCAGTAAACCTTTGTACATCAATATCATCTTGGCATAAAATGTGAAAACAAGTAATGATGTTGAATGTAGCCTGAGGCAGGCCTAAGCTATCATTTTTTTCTCTCTTTTCTCCTCAAGGACAACTATACGTTTGCCCAGCCAGGGATTCAGAGGAAAGTGAAGGCTCTGGAGGAGCTGGTCAGCCGGATTGATGGTGGGTACCACTGGCCTTTCTCTGCTCAACTACTGCTGCTCTGTACCCTCTGCTGCTTCCCACCCTTTATGGACTTTATATTATAAAGAATAATAAAAATGTTTTACTTGTGTAAGTGCCTGCCCAAAGCGCAAGGTCGCTTTACAAAGCATCAACAAAACACAGAAATATTACAGTATTATACAAAAGAAAACAAGAGGGAACTATAAAAAAAATACAGAACTCAACAATGGCATATAGTATGAACAATGAAAGGAATAAAAAAGAACAGCAGAAACCAAAAGAAATAAGATATGACAGCAGTTGTAACTTTCTTGACGTTATTTTCTAGAATGTTCTTTAAAGAACCATGTACAACAGGAATTTTTCATCATGGAAATGAACCGTTTAACCATACAGAGAACCACTGATGCATTGAGTTGATTCTTTGAGTGTTGAGCTTATTCTCTGTTGGTAATGAAATGTGCAGTTGGTCAGCGTCGTTTAAGCACTGATACCCATGATATGATCGGAACAGCACACTGTGATGTAACTCACAAATTATTGTCATACTGCCCACCTCTAAACTCTTAAAAAAATGTTTTTTCAAGGATTCTTAGACATGGACAGTATGACAGTATTTTGTTGTTTCGTGACGTCACAGTATGCTTTTCTGATCATACCATGGGTATTAGTACTTTAGCAACGCTGACCAACTGCATGTTTCATTACAAACAGAGCATATTTTGTCTTACATATTTTGTCCAGTATAGTATATAAAATGTTGAATAAAGATCATTGCGCCCAGTTTTCTGTTCCAACTTAACCAAACTAAACCATAGAAAAGCCAAACATGATACATATGTATCGTGAAATTTTCTTAAAGGGGACCATATCATGGAAATCTGAATTTTCCTTACTGTTTTAATTATACGAGTTTGATACAGTATGTACCATATACCATGGTTAGGGTTTCTAAATGTTCCATTCACTCCCATACCATACAGTCCATATACAGAAACTGAACTGCAGATACAGCCCATTTTGCATTTGTTGTTGCTGTGTCCAGCACATTTCTATATATCCATGTATTCAGCTTACAGCAGTTTAGCACCACCCATTCATGCTGTTATGAGTGTTTTAGCCCCAAACACTTTTTGAATGGGGCAGGACAGCCAGTCAGAACAGAGGTCATTTACATATATCAGTATTAAAGGCAAAAAACAGCCTGTGTAATCGCAAGGGATAAAGAGAAGGTGGAAAATGAATGTGAAATGTCCTCTAAAAATTAATTGTGCTGTTTTTTGGTACAGAAAACCCACAGAAATGTGATATGTCGACCTCAGAGGCAAAAAAACACAAAAACAGAACACAAGAAAAACATTGGATATGAGCTGCTTAAAGTATTATGATAATGATATTATCTTTTTGTCATATTGCCCACCTCTAAGCTAAACGCTATCTATTTGTGCAGTACATTCAGATGTTATTTACTTTTTATAACTGATGTTTTACATAACAAAATTGATATTATGGATGGCAAAAATGCTAAATTATTGTAGTAACACCATTTCATTTTGTGAACTTATGCAGATGATTTGAATTCACTTGACCAATCATTGTCTTTGTCATTGGAATAACAGCAACCAAGATACAATACTAAATGTTGCACTGGGTATACTGGCTCTGTAGGTTGGCCTCTGCTTTGTCAAATGGGCTTAGGACCTATACTGGGCTATAAACATCCAAAAATGTACACAAAAGTGCTGAAGTTTCAGCTCCTAAATGAGGCAGTGAAGCTGTCTATGCTTGTTTTGCTCTTTTACATTCTCTTAACTCTTTACATCCACTGTGATCTTTGCATTGGCTTACCCTGTGTTAGCATTTGCACTCTTTTGTGAGAAGCACAAGGATATATTCTCCAAAAGCATGAACTTGGGACCATGTTAAAAGTTCTGAAGGAAAATCGGACACATCTGTTTTAGTGCAAAAAAATTTTGAATATTGTATGTCCTCAGGTTGTTACTTAGTGTAGAAATGTTTTAGTCTTGCCTACCTTATGTATCTGGCTTTATATCCTCTATGTACCCTCTCTCTGTCTCTCTCTGTCTCTCTCTCTCTCTCTCTCTCTCTCTCTCTCTCCCTCTCTCCCTCCCACTGCCCTCATCCTTCCCCCCTTCAGCCAGAGTGTCAGGCCCAATCAGCGCACCAGTGGCTTGGCCTTTGCAGAGAGCGTAGCTGCCCCGCTGGGGAAAGCAAAAGCCACCGGAGCATAAGCCCCTCTCATTACTTTCTATTAGGCTGCCGTAATCAGAATTCAATGGCCATTTCTCTGAGACAGGGGCCCGCTCCTGCACTCCAGCACCCAGCCCCCTGTCTCTTCAGCCTGCATTAAGCTCAATGATGGCTTTAATTTTGGGGAGGACAGAAAGCAGGAAGATTGTTGTTGATGTTTTTTTCCCTTCCTCTGAATGTCTCCCTCTTTGTCTTTCTCCTCCTTCATCCATCTCTCGTTGTATGTGTGCATGGTAGAGATAAAGTAGTCATTTGGCTGTTGACTGTTGTGTTTCCTTCCTGCTGCTTTATTTTGATTGCTTTCCTTCTTCTTTATTGTTCCAGTGTGAGTTTTGCTCTAGTTTGATTATTTAGTTATATTGCCATGAATAATATAAAGTCGTAATACTGAAAATAAAATAGAGAGAATACAAGAACTGAGGACTTCATAGGGGTAAATACTTTAAACATGCTTAACCCTTTAACGTTTTGCTTTGTTTTACTCAATTTAGCGCTTTACAGCCTTGCCTTGTGAAAATCTGCAGCACTGCAGTGCTCTGGGCATTATCAGACTACTTGTTCTTCCATTTTTATCTTCCATCTAAGAACTTACCTCTCGTGTCATTGGACAAGGAGAACCAGTGTTATAAAAATACATCTCTTTTTCCTTTTCAAAAGCCACATCTCCCCAGAAAGCTACTTAAACTTTAACTGTCTCCTTTCAAGCAGCAGCAAGCTGTGCTTGTGCTTCTTGATGTAGCTAACTTGATGTTTTGTCATTCAAATGATCACATTAACACTGGACTAATGCATGCCAATGAACAGGCATTATCTGTGAAGGCCTTTGAACTGGTGCTTGTTCTTGAATAACCTTCACGTTGTCAGGCTCCAGCGCCTTTCTCATGTCACATTTATTGTATTTATCTCTAATCACAAGTGGGTAATGTCTTGTATTATGCATTCAAATGGGATGTGCAAGTGCTTTGCAAAGAAACCACTGAAAGGGAACAGTTGATATTTGACCTCCAGACAGTTTAAAAGTGTTTCTTTCTTCATGATCGCTGTTAAGTGACAGAACTCTGCCCCTGCATGACTTATAGTACAAGACTGAGTAAGTTAGTCGTGTGCATTTGTATGTTTGTTTGGACGTATGAGGGCTTGACTCATATATCCATTGACTGATAATATCGTTCCTGTAGATTTATCTGTATTGGTGAAAATACCACTGCTAAAATACTGACACTAATTTTGTATTTTACTGAGGACACCTCATGAAAGATGAAGAATTTAGTCATTGGCTTTAGTCATACTAAGCTGACAGTGAGCACCTGTTCACATTTATCACAGCAATACAGACTAGACTAATAAATTTGAACACAAAACACAATCATAGGTAAAGTAAATATCCTTTTAAACCCAACTTTTGGCATCACAGTAACATTTTATGATGAAAAAAATCTCTAAAGAGTATTACTTAAAAATAATAGTTAATTAAGAGAAAACAGTAAGGCCTTTTGAAATTAATAAACTTTTTTTTTATTTAAAAACGTTTTGCATTTTTTTTACATTTTTAAAATTAAAGCTCTGCCCCAGTGCTACAACATTTCTATTTAGGCTGAGTTTCTGCTGTTTCAGTCCAGAAATGAAGAGAAGTGAAGGGAACTGCTTGAAAATAAGAGCTAATTAATAGAGTCCAGAAAATTGCTAAGAATTTGGGGAAGCTCCAGCCCCAATGCTACAATATTTCCATTATTAGTAATTTGCTTTGCCATGCACAACAATACTGTTATCTGATTTATCTTATTAGTGATTACACATTGCAAAAATGCAGACTATTGTTTTTATTTAATTATTGGCCATATAAAATTATATTGGCCAAAATGATCATATGTCAAAGGTTTTAGCTCCTTACGATTGGTATTGGTGAGAAAACCTTCCTACTGAATGGAGCTCAGTTTGTGCATATGTAAATACTTTGCTGCCCTTTTTAAGCACTGTTCGTGTTTCCCGTATGTAGTTCTAAATTAGGAGCATCTCCTGCCTGAGAGTGTAAACAGGAAAGTTGTGATGATACGGAGGAAACTGCAGATCATCAGCAGCTCAGAACACGATAGATGAAGAAATCTCTGAGCAGGAAGTAGCCCCTTTACCTGCGGAACAGAACTTTAATTGACATAATTGTTTTGGCAAATACATCTTTAATGCTGATCATTGTATATAAAAAAGAAAAAAACAAGGCTCAAAAATCAAAACTAGAAGACATGCATGTGTCTGTTTATATTCCTTGGACACAAATATTTTAGTATTTCTTTATTAAGGAATTTGTTAAGGGGCTATTATTAATAAGGCTACAGTGATTAGGCAACAGTTGATTAGTCATCTACAAGTGCTTTGTAATTTTTAGTAAATTTCATCTGATATTTGTGGTCTTTTCAACAGATTGCAGTATGCTTCAGTAAGCATCAGTCCTGATGTTATCTGATCTAGGTTCTGTAGTTAGATGTTTAGCTGCTGCAATGATAGCCCCTCTGCATAACTGCAGTGTAATACCTTTATTTAAGACTCTATTTCATGGCAAACTACCAGGCTAGCAGGCTGTTCAGCTTTTTGTGTTCAGGAAAATTGCTGGATGTATCACTTTAAGACAGTGGCAGAAATAATTATACATTAATCATCTGTTTAGCCTAACTATACCTTGCCCAAATGGTCCCCCCTTTAACCTGGTCGAACCGAGCATCTCGCTGGTG